CTCTTTTAGTTTTGCTCGTAGAGCCTTGAATGAGATAGCCCATAGAATAGCACATATGCATTCCCCATTACCACCTTGGGAAGGGGTTTGGGTAGGCACTTTACCCTCAGCAATTGGTACTGATCTGGTTTCTTAAGCAATAAAATTTATTTTTCTATCAAAAAAAAAAAAAGAATATTGGAGCAATGTCACTACTGTAAATAGACCTTAATTTTTCTTGTAATTACCACTTATCAGTGTTTTTAAACTTGGATCAACCTAATCGATCAAATTAGTTGAACCATATTTAGTTATAAATTTGGTTCATATAATAACTTAAACTCATTTGTGGAGTTGACTTTGATAAAATTGATAAGACCCGATAAATAAAAAAAAAAATTAAAAACTGACTAGTTTATTTTTTTAAAGAGAAATGAAAGGAAGATATTACTAGCTTTCAAACTCTTACCCTCAGTTTCAAAATTTAGGTGTTTTGCCACATGAATGGTCTTGATGATATATTTTACATAGATATAAAGAAGTAAAATTGACACCACAATGTTTGGGAACTCTCAACCCATCTATCATTATAGAGTGTCTTTACCATCACACCACTGAGTGTTATTGTGTTTATTTTGCATAATATTTTATTTATTACATATAATTTATAAAAAATTCTTTATGGCTTCATCCAATCAAAACATACAATTTAACTAATCTAATTGATCCAACCAAAACCAGAGATCAAAACAGGTTGACCTCCAGTTCAAGTTTAAAAAAGTTGTCACTTACTCAATTTGTGTGGAGAGTTCAGATGGTTAAGACTTAAGAAGCCACGCCAACCACTCATTAGGGTGAGCGTGGCAAACAAGGCAAGTGGCCAAAAATCCTCTGCCGGAGTCCGCTCTCCACCCAAAACAAACTTGCAAAAACCCAAAACCCCGACCCCAAAATGGTAAATGCACACTCATTCCTTCTTCCTCCACCACCTACTCTCTCCTCCAAATTCCATGGCCAAGAATTCACTTGAATAATTCCCTTCGTATCCCCTCCTCCTAAAGCCGTTTCTCACAGTCATGACTCCCTTTTCTTGTTCCTCCTCCACCAGGACTAATCGTCATTTCTATCTACTTAAACACCGGTATATTGAACCCCAACTGCCCAAGAAAGAGACCCTTTTCTTCAAAACTCACAAGCTTCCACCCAAACCTTATCTTCCACTTTTGAGCTTGAAGAATTCTAAAAACTCTAACCCTTTTGCTGGTACATCTTCCCTTGCAGATGCAGAAGGTGGGGAAGAACAAAAAGAAGGAACCAATGAGGAGAAGTATCAGGGGAATGCCAAAGCAGAGGAGGGTGACTTGCCTGGAATGGCTCAAGCCTTTAATATATCTTCCAAAACAGCCTCTGCTATATCAGTAGGCATAGCGTTTGCAGCTCTGATTTTGCCACTTTTCATGAAGTCTCTGAGTCAAGGACTTGGTTTGAAGACTAAACTTCTATCTTATGCGACCCTGTTGTTTGGATTTTACATGGCTTGGAATATTGGAGCCAATGATGTGGCTAATGCCATGGGGACTTCGGTTGGATCAGGGGCGTTGTCACTGCCTCAGGCAGTGTTAACTGCTGCGATTTTGGAGTTCTCCGGGGCGCTGTTGATGGGGACTCATGTGACTAGTACAATGCAGAAGGGGATTCTGGTAATGGATGTGTTTCAAGGGAAGAATACATTGCTTTTTGCAGGGCTGCTCTCTTCTTTAGCTGCTGCTGGTACTTGGTTACAGGTGCATTTCTTTACCCAATTTACAGCCTTTTGCAGAACTTAGTATACTACTTCTGTAAGATTCAATAAAGGCAGAGAATGTTTTGGTTATGACTTTTATATTAAGGAAGAGATGAATAATATGATCTCCCACAAGTTTCCTCAATAAAAACTCTAAAATCCACGTTTCCTAGTTAACAAAAGGATCCATTTTGAGGCTTGCTTGCTTCAAAGTAGATATCATTCAATTTTACCATCCTTGTGGAACAATGCATCCTACTCTAGATTATATAGGAGCCAATTAACACGTAGTGTTGATCAAAACAATGGCAGAGCGTTCATAACAATGTAGAGATCGGAGGAATTAGGGAAGAAGTATTCGATACATTTCCAATCTTGTCTACATAGCTAGGGCTATATTAGAGGTGTTGGAATCATTTTTTTCGAAATACTGTTTGATACGGGTATTTTAATCATTATTAGTTTGGAAGTTGATTAATATTGTTATTGGAAATGATTCCACTGACTACTTTTTCTCACAAAATTCCCTTGCAAAAGTCATGTGTCATCAAATGTTTGACTCCTTTCACTTATTGAAATACATGATGAATTGTTATATTTCAGTCATTTAATGACACATGATTATTATGAGGAAAAAGTTGTTGTTGAATTATTAATTTGCGTAAAAGATGGTTTTTGAAATTTCTAAATGTGCAGCTTAAAATTTTAAAATCCAAAGCACTTATTAAGAAAAAGCTTTTAAAATCCATTTCACTTATTGGAATGCATGATGAGTTACTATATTTCATTCATTTAATGAAACATGGTTATTGTGAGGAAAAAGTTGCAGTTGAATCATTAATTTGTGTAAAAGATGGTTTTTGAAATTTCTAAATGTGCAGCTTAAGCTTTTAAAATACAAAGCACTTACTAAGAAAATGATGTTTATACAACATTTTAACTTCTGTAGCAGAGAAACTGTTTATATTTCGTTCATAATGTTGTTACCAGGTTTCGTCCTACTATGGTTGGCCCGTCTCCACAACTCACTGTATAGTAGGATCAATGGTAGGATTTGGCCTTGTTTATGGTGGATCTGGTGCCGTGTTCTGGGGCTCCCTAGCAAGGGTGGCTTCATCTTGGGTGTTCTCACCAGTCCTGGGAGCATTGATGTCTTTTATTGTATACAAATGCATCCGCAGAGTATGTCCACTATTCTCTGATATTTTACTCAAAAAAATAAAAGATAAAAACTTCTTATGTTTTCTGATACAACTTATTTCGGTGCCCTCGTTTTTTACTTAGTTTGTTTACAGTGCTCCAAATCCCGGCCAAGCTGCAGCGGCGGCTGCCCCAATAGCCGTTTTTTTGGGTGTCACTGGAATATCATTTGCAGCCTTTCCTCTGAGCAACAGCTTGCCTGTGTCTCTTGCCCAAGCTTTGGCATATGGAGCAGCCGGAGCGATCATAGTTTATAGAATCATAAAACAACAGCTAGGTCATCTGCTCATTAAATCCGCTTCAACAGAACAAGATACTAAAGAGAACACAGTTGAGACTAAAAACCTTGGATTTCTTTCAGAAGTTGCAGGCCCCAAAGGCACCCAGTTAGAAATAGTTTATGGAGTTTTTGGATACATGCAGGTCCTCTCTGCATGCTTCATGTCCTTTGCTCACGGTGGAAATGATGTTTCCAACGCAATAGGCCCTCTGGCTGCTGCATTGTCCATTCTTCATGGTGGTGCCAGCGGGACAGAGATTGTGATTCCTACAGACGTTCTCGCATGGGGAGGGTTCGGCATTGTTGCTGGGGTCATGATGTGGGGATACAGAGTGATAGCCACAATAGGGAAGAAGATAACAGAGCTAACCCCAACAAGAGGGTTTGCAGCTGAGTTTGCTGCAGCTTCTGTGGTTCTGTTTGCATCAAAGCTTGGATTGCCAATCTCAGCGACACATACTCTGGTTGGAGCAGTCATGGGGGTAGGGTTTGCAAGGGGACTGAACAGCGTTAGAGCAGAAACAGTGAAGGAAATTGTGGCTTCCTGGGCTGTGACAATTCCAGTTGGGGCAACTTTTGCAGTTTTCTACACATGGATCTTGACTAAGCTTTTGTCACATATATTATGAGTACAAATTTAATAGGTGAAAATGAACAGCTTGAATGTCTATGATGAATTGAAATTACCCATCCTTTTTTCTTCCTTTCGCTATTGTGGGATTTTTATGTCCTTTTCTAGCTGAGATGATTTCCTCAAAGTGGAAATCACCAAATTCATATTTTGGATTTGAGACGACAGCAGCTGTTTTTACTTTTGGAATTTGAGAGGATAAACAATGGTTTTACCTCGCCTTTTTATGCTAAATTTTCATGCTTTTTTTTCTTTTTTAACAAATGTACTTGACACGTCACAAAATGTTTGCTTCTACTAGTGCATAGAAAAAACGCTTATACTTAATGGATTGTAACGGTTGGCATGGGAGTTTGCTCTGCCTGCACTTTGTTGATTAAGGTTTGCTCTTGAGAAGGCCAGTAAAAGGTAAATTTCCTAAAATCCCACTATTACTGGTGTGAAGGCCTGCCTGTTACACCAATAAATACTTTCATAGGATCCAAGCAATTTAGGGTGATTGGAAGAATCTACAAAATGACTACTGATAGAAGCAGACTCTGAATACAAAACACATCAAGACCTGTACAACATAAAATTGAGAAGTCTTCAATCAGTATTTCATTATTATTTTCCTTCCAAACTTTCTCAAGATATCAATACAAGTAAATAAGCAATTCCACTTTGTTGCAGGAGAACATACCGAGTAAGTGATGAACGTCAGCTAGAAAAAGAAAAATGTCATGGAGAAATTTCTTGTACAGAATTTAAGCTGGGTGCCCACCCTGCTTCCTTTATTGATATTGTCCTTGGTAATGGGGGTACAAAATGCTTCTTCACTACCCTTCCACCTTTGCTGCGGGATGCATTTTTTACCCGCCTCTCCTGGCGCCTATCTTGGGAAACTTTGGGAACATAGATTTCTTTTGCAGAATAAACAGATGCCTCCATGTTTTCTTCACTTATATCCCAAGTGATCCTTTCATCTGACGCCATTTCGTTGCCTTTACCAGGTCTTCTGACTCTACGCTTCAGTTTTTGTGCTGTAGTAGATGGGATCATGTAATATTTCTGACCAGGTAACAGGTTTTCTTCAGGCCATAAAAGGGACTCATGAGGCTTCTTGAAAACTCCAGGACGCGCAACACACATCCCTGGATACTTCTCCATCACTTGGGATGCAGGAATGACATTTTGATAGAGCTTCTCTTTTCCACCTGCATGAACTATTCTCACGGATATATCTCTAGATTCTAGGGTTTTGTCCATACAAACTGGAGCTCGTCTAAATTCCTTATGGTTGCCAGGATCTCTGTTGGTTTGCCCAGCCTGCCCAAAGCATTCAAAACACTTCTTCAGCCAAAAGGGGAATCAAAAGCCGCCTGATCCAACAGTTTCATTTGATGACAGTGTCAGGGGATGCGGAGCCATCCTATTTGTTCGAGGTATTATAATAATAACCTGCATTGGCCATTGCGTCTATATCTCCTTTGTAGATTACACCCATCTTCTGTTGTCTAACGTTTGCCCACAGAATAGAATTTGATGAAATTAAAGCATTAGGCAGCCGTCCAGCAGCTTTTTTTGTTCACTTGCATGATAAATCGAAAGTTATGAGTTACCCATTACAAATAGATGACACAAAATATGTTGACTGTTTGGTCTTATGCACTTTGGAGGCACATTGCTGTACTAATATCATACTCCCAAATGCCTGAAGATATCCATTGATTCCAGCTTCCTTATCCTCCCACTAATGCAGCTGTTATGAAGAACAAGACAACCATTACACGAGCAGGCTGCCATAACATTTTTTCTCTCCCACAGGCCCAAGTATGCCCTCATTTGGAAAGAAGTTTCTGTCCAAGAAGTGAATGGTTAAATTTATTTCAGGTTCTAAAGCATTTATCTTCACCAACAAGGTTGGCCACCTTCCCCCATAAAACGTCTGTTGACAAAGAGAGGAAATAGCAGAACACTCTTTTCTATTGAACTCGCGCACAAAAGCTGTCTTGTTTCTTTTTCATTCTTCTTTTTACTTGCAAAAGTTAGTGATGTACACCGGTTGTCTATATTTTAGACTCTAGAGTATTCTTTTGTTTGCAATATTTTAATTTACCATACATACAAAAAACTAGACACACAACTAACGTGGTTTTCTCTCCATCATATATTCTTGTGTGGCTTCAATTTACTTTATAGTAAAATATATGCTTCTAGAAGACTTTTACTTCTTCACCTTTTAGCTCAAGTCGGTGATGAATATTTTAACAACGTCATAGATACATGACTGTTCAGATAGGCCAGAACTTGCCTCATGCCTCACCACCTTCAAGCTAATGCTTCTTGGAAATTAATTTAGATCATAGAAGACAGGCACAGGCCCTAGCACAAACAAAAGAATTTAAATTCAGATACAACAGGGAAAGGAAGTAAGTGCAATTGAAGAGAAACAAAAGCAAAAAGTAAAAGTACCTGCAGGATGGCAAACTGATAGGTCACACGATCAAGAGCAAACACCAAAAAGTTTGTATTAGCAAGGCTCCTCAATCTGCAGACCCAACTCATTAACATGTCCTCGTAACTATATCCATCAACTGTGAGCACAATTGTCTTATTAATTCTTGTCTGCAATGATTGGTAGGAGTGAATCGTGAGGAAAATGGAAAATCCAATGTTATAGAAGGCATTAACTGACCTCTGGACAAACCTAATTCCAGTGGACAAGGCCTCACTAATGAGAAAAGGAGGAAGTATCTATTCAGATGTAAATAACGGTGATATTGCCACCAAGTACCAAGAAACCTAGGAACACCCAAACACAGCAAAACCCTATTCAATTTGGAATGCTCATCGCTGAAAACTACACACAAATTCACTTCTAAATCAGTAACATTAAATAACAAAATATCTGTCATTGAATGTATGATTGCCATTCAGTCAATAATAATGTAAAGAAATTATAATTATAATTATCTCATATCTTACGTGAGATCAAATATTTTTCGATATTAGGTTCAATCAGAATCCGGGAACCAAAGGAGGCAGCAAAAGAAGAAACAGAAGGGACCTGCATGAAGAGAAGAATAGTGATTTCGGAGTTCCTATGGAACCGGCAAACATGATACAATGCTAGGGGTGGCATTAAAATGATTATATATACATATATATATATATATATATATAATATTATGAGTGATATTAAATGGATAGTTACAATGTAATTTTTTAATTGTAAATTTATAATAATTATATCATTCTTGATATTTTTAAATTTAACTAAATTTATAAATAAGCACCTATTAACATATTATCAATGATTGAGAATTTGATTTCAATATATTATTGTTTTTTCAAAAATCCTCTAGTAACCTTGCACGTGTGAAATCTGGGTATGAATCTGGATGCGGGCGTGCCATTTACTTTGCTGAAAGTAAGAAAGGAGGGCTTTCCCAACGACCCTCTCCTTCCTCACGGTCGACCTCTTTGCAGATGGCGGAAAGAACGTTGGATTAAAATGTAATTTGCGCCTTCAAACGATTTGTTAGAGGGAGGAATACCTTCCTGCAGAATGGGTTACGAAATCTACCTTGGACAACTCCAAGGACTTAAACACTACCGCGACTTAAAATTAACAAATCCTAATTATTCTAAATTACCTGTAATTTAAAGTAAATTTGCGAGAAAAAACTGTACCTAAATTAAACTAAACATGTTCATTGTTAAATTAAAATGCAATGTACTAGCAGATCTAGAAATTAACACGCTGCAAAATTAAAGATTTCATCTTAATTAACATTAAAATTAACGTGAACAATAATTAAACTACCATGCTTGAGGTTGAAAAGAGGTATGAACACCACATAAGTAATCATTAAATAAAATGCTACCACATGAGTAATCATTGAATAAAATGCTACCACATAAGTAATCATTGAATAAAATGCTACTTATCATAAACATTAAATTAATTGCAAATGAAAAGAGAATAATACCTTGCATAAACTTGAAAGATTGAAGTTCATTGCATGAAAGGAAATTGTTTAACTGAATATAGGACTTAATTTGTCTACTGGAATAATGAAAAACAACATAATTCTAATGGAATCTGTGCTGGAATACGAAATCTGTGCTGGAATACGAAATTTGTGCTGAAATCCGAAATCTGGAAGCATGTGCAGAGAAAATCAAAGTATGAAAATTTGCAGATGTTTGAGTAGGGCTGGCCGTGTGTTCCCCCTTCCAAAATTTCCTTTTTGTTGTTCTTATGTTGGTAGTAACTTCCACTTTCTGCAGTTGCTCAATCATGGGTAGTTTTTTGAAGTAGTGGGACACTTCACCTTTTGACCTAATCTAATCCCCTTTCAGATTTCACCACCTGTACTATTAACAGATAAAACCCCCTTTTTAACTGCATCTTCTCCTATTTTTCAGCTCCCATTATCCCTTTTTGTATCAAGAAGATAATTACTCCATAAAATATTATCTTTACCTCTCATATTTTGCCAACCCAAGTGCTGATCTGTCATGGAGCTTAGAATCCATATATGACATGGCTCAATCTCCTCCAACCAATAAAAAATATTTTACACGTGACATTAATTTAAAATTTTGCAATTTATGGTGTAAACAATTATACAAAAGTTTTATTTATAAATATTATGCTTTTACCCACAAGATTTTTTATTTTTACTTAAAATTCATAAAATAT